CGAGATTCCTGACAACTTCTTTACTAGATGTCATATTCCCCTTATAAATCAAAGTTGACACTTTCCAGATCTTTATTTAATCGTGCATTTTTAAAATAAGAATGATGTCTGTCTTTTCTTCGTTTAGTTTCAATTTGTTTAATGTCATCCACTTTTTAATTTCATAAAAACATTGTTTAGTGATGGAAATCATGTTTGGTAGATCTTGAATGGAGCCATTAACATACATTTCGGAGTCATCGGCATAAAAATGATAATTCAATCCATGATTCTGTAAAATGCTTGCTAAGGGCTGTGTATATAGTGTAAAGAGCACTGGTCCAAGAACGGACCCTTGTGGAACTCCATAATCGAGCCTGACCTGCTTTGAAAAGCTATTTTTAATTTGCACTGACTGAACTCTTTCTAGTAAATATGACTTAAACCATGAAAGCACAGTACCTGATAAGCCAAATGAGCGCTCAAGTCTTGTGAGTAGAATAGCATGGTCAATTGTGTCAAGAGCTGCGGACAGATCCAAAAGAGTTAAAAGACAGATGTTTTTGTTATCAATGGAATCTAATAAATCAGACGTTACTTTTAAAAGCGCAGTTTCGGTACTATGATGAGTTTTATAGGCAGATTGGTAAACTTCCTCAAGGCCATTTTTTTCTCTTGTGAGACAAAACTTGACTTAAAACAATCTTCTCTAGAATTTTTTAGACAAATTGCAAATTCGAAACTGGTCGATAGTTTTTTAAAATTCATTTTTATCAAGCCCCGTTTTTTTTCAATACAGGTTTTACAATAGCTTGTTTGAAAGTATTAGGTACTGTGCCTGTGGAAAGTGACATATTCACTATCTGAGAAATAAGAAATTTAGCTTTTTCCAGCAAAACTGTCTCAAAACTGAAAAAAACGAAGGCGCCATGATCTGGAGAATATCTTAAAGTGACATATTCACTATCTGAGAAATGAAGAAATTTAGCTTTTTCCAGCAAAACTGTCTCAAAAATGAAAAAAACAAACACGAAGGGCGCCATGATCTGGAGAATATTTTAAAGAATCTTTTGGCGAAAACCGCATGTTGATCGATGCAACCATTAAAAAGCCTTTTGAATAGCAAAATTCGGCCACCACAAATAGATAATACATTCTAATCTAAGACCTGTTGACGTTGTTTCCAGTAGCAAGAAAAAGAATTTGATTTTGACAAAGGAGTCCAGAAAAAGCGATGATGTGCATCAAACATAGAGGTACACTATATGTTTAAAAGGGGGTAACTCTATGGCATCAAACAAAAGGATCACAGTCGAATTTAACACCAAGTAAAAAAAGAAAACATGAGGCTAGATCTATACGGGTCTGACACTTAAAATAGTCCTCAGTATTGCACGACAATGCGCGATAGTATCGAACGGAAGTACGACTTGAAATAAAAGTAACCTGGCGGATTTTCTAAAATTACAGAGACAGAAGCGTCGGCCTACAAAAGCGATCGACGAAATAAAGAAATTTAGCTTTTTTGCAGCAAAACTGTCTCAAAACTGAAAAAACGAAGGGCGACATGAACTGGAGAATATTTTAAAGAATCTTTGGGAGAAAACCGCATGTCGATCGATGCAACACTTAAAAAGCCTTTAGAATAGCAAATTTCGGCCACCACAAATAGATAATAGATGTTAAGCCGTTTACAACACTAAGGTCCTGAGGTAAGACCTCAAATCTTAAAATCCTTCTCAGATAGAACTGAGCAAGTCTGTACTGTTTGATAGAAGAAAGGGTCTCTATTCTCCTTTGTTTTCGAGGGAAATGATTAGGGCTCGCCACAACCACCAC